TGATCACCAGCCGGTCACGCGCCGCCCGCGCCCCGCCCCTCTCGTCCGGCGGGTCTGGGCGGCCTAGTCCCGCCGCCGGGAAGGAAAAGCCACCCGCCCTCTTCCAGCCGCGCTCCCGGGCTCTGGAGCGCCCGGCTTGGTTGCCATGGCGGCGGTTGCTGTGGTGATGAAGTGGCAGCTGCTGCTGGTGCTCAGTGCAGCGGGGCTGGTGGCCAGTGGCACCCCGCAGCCTCCCAATATCCTGCTCCTGCTGATGGACGACGTGAGTGCGGGCCGGGCTCCAGGGCTGCGCGCTGGGCGGCCGGTGGGGGACACACTTGCGGGGTGGATTGTGGGTCTGGGAGGCCCTGGAAGGGAGCGGCCGTGGGGGCGGTCAGCTGGTGCGAGGTTAGCGCCTGGCCTGCGGGCTGCAGCCTCACAAGTGAGTGAAACTGAAGCGAGGTAGTCGTGTCCAGGCTGGGAGAAGATTCCTCCAGCATTTTTCCCTTCTTGCCCCTCTCGCTCGGGTAGGGTGGAAGGGCAGCCCAGACCTGCTGCCGCCCTGGCCAGGTGAGGACCAGCCCCGTAGGAGGCCCTGCTCATCCCTGCCCGCCCACCCAGTGCGTCCCTGGTCAGGGAAGGAGGTGACAAGCTGACCAGGACCCCGCTCTGCCTGCCTAGGAAGTTGATTGCTCTGCACCTGTCCTGCCCCAGGGCTGCCCCTGTCCACCTGAGCAGGCTGCTCTGGCCCTGTTGAGAATTCTAGTCAAACGTCAGGTCTTTTGTTTGTTTGGTTTGGTTTTGCTTTGTTTTGTATGGCTTTTGGTGTCCTATATGCTTGATTGATTTTGCCCCAGGCTGAAAAGCAGATCACACTAAATGGAAGATGGGAGAAGGGGGAATGGTCTGCATGGGGTGGAGGCCCAGAGCAGGCTGAATGTAAGCCCTCCGGCTCAAAGTTGTATTTTTTTCGGTGTTACCTTTGTGAGCTGTGTGACCATGGAGAGTCATTTGACATCTTTGAGCCTCAGTATGCTCATCTGTAAAATAGGAAAGCAATTCCTACCTCTCAGAGCTGTAGCAAGGCTTAATTAAGTGAGTTAATGAGATGCTTAACCCAGAAGTGGGTATTTAAACAAGTGCCTCTTTGAAGAGGCAAGTCAGTCTTTCGAGGAGCAGGTCTCCTTCCTACCTTGGGGGTCCACTCTTATTAAGATTACAGATCTGCAGCTCTGGCACGTGGCTTCTTGGATCCAGTGAAAAGAAGGAAACATTTCAGATCTTGAAATAATACTCGGGGATTTGAGATAACTTGGGGCAACCAAAGGACCCTGGGTGACCAGAAAGACCAGAAGAGGAAGAAAGAGGTTCAAATAGATGCTGGGACCAGACGGTGCTTGGCAGCTGTTCGCCAAGACCCAGGGTAGCAGCCGAGATCCCTGTGGCAAGTGGCTAATGTCCCAGTAGTTTGGAAAAAAGCAGGTTCTGTTCTTCATCCATTTGCCCACCTTGGCCTGGGCTTTCCTCTCCCATGCAGTACAGTGTCTCTAAATTCATTCCCCTTTTGAGAATGAGGAGAGGAAGGAAGGGTGGAGAGGAGAAACAGCCAAAGATCAGGTCTTTCGCTGAAGTGGAAGAGCGTACCCTGTCAGGTGCATGTGCAGCCCCAGGAGCAAGGTCACACTTGTGGGCCAGCCCTTTGGAGAGTAGGAAGGTAGAACCATTCCTGTGTGGAAGCTGAGTCCTTCACTTTTCCCTTTGCAACTCCTTTTCCTGTGCTCCTTTCCGAAGGAAGCTGGGAGTGGAATGGAAATTCTGAAATTAATCAACGTGAGGCTTCCAGGTAAAATGGGGATGCAGACAAACCTGGGCTGGCAATCCTTCTCCCCTGAGCCTAGAGAAGTTACTGAAGCTCTTGTCTCCTCTCTGTCCAGCTCTCCTCATTGTGATGTGAGGACTGAGGCAGGGCAGAGGGCAGGCTGTGATGGCAGGTCCTGTGGTGTAATAAAAGACAGTGTCCTGGCATACAGCTCCTAAAACCCTTGTAGTGATAGCGGTGTCTGGTGTGCTAATGAATTAGATGGCTGGAGCCCTGGGTAGCTTCAGGATGAGGTCCTCAGAAGACCAAGGTGTGATTCGAGGGTTGAAGCTTCCAGCACAGCCCTGATATCTGGAGAGGGAAAAGTGAGTAGCTGGAGATTGAGTTCTATCACCAGAGATTGATGACTCAATCAGTTGTGCCTGTGTAATGAGACCTCCTTTGAAAAAGAACCCTAAGCAACAGAACACGTGGAGCGGGAGAGAGTGCAGAGCTCCTTGCCCCTTCCCCATACCTCAGCCTAGGCACCTCTTCCTGAGTTGTTCATAATTGTAAATGCAGCACTTTCCTGAGTTCTGTGAGCCGATCTAGCAAATTATGGAACTTGAGCAGATCTGTACCCCCAACTTATAGCAGGTTGGTGAGAAGTTCAGGAGGCCCGGGACTTGTGGCTGGTTGAAGGGGGGCAGTTTTGTGGGACTGAGCCCTTGACCTGTGGGGTCTGAGGCAAGCTCCAGGTAGCTAGTGTCAGAACTGAACTGAATTGTTGGGCTCTCATCTGGTGCCTGGAAAGTTGGAGAAGTCGCTGGTGTGGAAATCCCCACCATATTTGGTATCAGAAGTGTTGAATAAATATAGTTCAAAGTTCCCCAAAAGGCCAGCAAAGATGCTCACAGGAGCCTTTGGACCAAGGCCAGGAGCCTCACATGGCTGTTGGACAGTCCTGGCTGGTTAGAATTGACAGGTGCTGAGTGTGTAAAATGCACTCAGATTTTGAAGACTCAGTACAAGAAAAATAATGTTTAAAAAACAACAACTCTTTATTACAATGATTTTTTTATTATGAAAAATTAGCATCAGTCAGATGTGCCTGAAAAGATCATAGAAGTGTATCCATAATTCCATCACCCAGAGATTACACTGGACATGCTTTTTAGTCACATGAACTCATTCAGGTGATGACTGCTCCTAAAGCAGGCTCTGTGGCCCCTCAGCTGGTCCATCCTGATGGCCAGTAGGGAAAATGCTTCCTAATGAACAACACATTAGTCTTGGAAATGCTTGCTTTTTGTGTCAATATTCAGCCTTCTCCAAGCTGGAGTCCCTGTCAAGGCTCAGTCAAGCAGTCTCTTTTGGATGGTGAGACTCAGTCAAGTGCTCTGTCAGGTTTCTGCCCCTTCCCTTCTCTCCAGGTGACAGATGTGTGAGGCAAGTCATGTGCGCTCCAGTTTATTGAAGTGATAATATTTTGGTTATACATGCATACTTCAGAGACTTTGCCTATCTGGTTCCAGACCACTGCAGTAGAGCAAGTATTGCAACAAAGCAAGTTGTGATCTTTTTGCTGGTGAAGAGCTTGTCTTCAGTTTGTAAGAAGAAAAAAGGAAAGGAAAGAAAAGAAACACCTGTGCAGCACAGTAAAGCAAAGTGCAATAAAATGAGGTATGCCTGTATTGAGTTAAGTAAAATATGTTAGGCCCGTTCATCTGTTTCTTTTTGCATTTTTAATGAGGCCACTAAAAGGTTTGTAAACTTACACAGGTGGACCCCGCGTATTTCTGTTGGAAATGTCTTTTAGGCCCTGAAGCTTCTGAGTGGTAGAGCATAACCAACACTGGGAATGTTTTTACTCAAGGGGGCTGGCATGGGGAGCCTCCCTGCTTGGGTGCCCTGGGGTAGGGTAGCAGGATTCAGGACAGTGGCCAGGAGCCCCACCGCTCGGCCTCTCCAGTGCAGCTTCCTTCCTGTGACTTTGGGGTTCTCCGGCAGCTGAAACCAAAGAAGTCTGGAAGACCTTTGTCCTGGTCAGCAAACATGGATAAGTCAGGACTTTTTGGTGGCAGATAACAGAAAACGCATACAAAGTGACTTAAGCAAAATTGGAAACCAAACTCTCCTGACTAGACGGGCTGGGACAGCTGGGACTTCGGGCAGCAGGATCCAGAAGCCCCTTGCTCTGTGTCCTCACCTGCCCTATGGCCAGCAGGCCCAGTGGGAGCGCGAGCTACCATGAAGACTCAGTTCATATCCCTGAGCCAGGCTCGCTGCCTGGGGAGGAGTCTGCTGGCCTATGCAGCTGAGGCCTGTGGCCAATGTGTCACCCTCCCCCCCACCTCCCATCCCAGAGAGCCAGTCAGGGAGCAGGATGGAGGAGGTGGGCAGACCCTTTCATCCAGGATGGCACCTTATATGCTAAACAGGAACATGCCCCTTCCCATGCTCCAACTCCCCCTCTCACCCTGTGGGAAATATAGTGAAAATTCCTGTATAGCCTTGGTGGACTCAGGCACGTTGTGCCTTCTCTGCCCGAGAGCACGCCATCTTCCTTCCTTCTGTCAGCCACACCTCTCTCCAGGCACATATTTCATTTCAGCTCCTATTGTTACCAAATGGAAAAGCCATTTCAGTGACTTCAAAATAAACCATCTCCAAAGAAATCCAAAGCTAAAAGGGCTAAAACCGGAATCCTAAGGCCATAACGGCCTTTGAGAGCAGATAGGACGGTCCAAAGACAAAGGCCCTGAGTGGGCTGTCAAACCATGTGTCACAACCAGCCTAAGGCCAGGAGATGAGAACAGCAGGAGAAGGCAGTGCCTGGGAGAAACTTGGAGGCTGGGTCTCACTAGAGGCAGTGTCACCCTCCTTGCTCACCCTTATGGGAAGGGTGGCTGTACAACCTATATTGCAGAGGAAGGGCATTAATAATTACAGTCAGACAACAGTATAACTGTCCTGGGCAAATCTACGTGTACAGCCATCCACATATGACCCAGAGTTGCCAGATCTCTTCATGAGATCACTGAGCCCAATTCTCAGAAATATCTACAGAATCAAACCAGTGTCTTTGGAGTTTCCTGGATCAGCACACTGCTATGTCCAGTCTTAGGCAAGCATGTTCCTGTAAGTTCAGACTCTTGTCCTTTCATACAGGCCTGAGATTTCTTATGGGCTGACTCACCAGAGCCCAGTGAGTGAGAAGAGCTTTGAGAGCCCCTGGAGAGACAGGGAACCACTAGGGTCTCACCAGGCCTCAGCAGCACACCAGGTGCCTGCACTTTTCTAACTGTTCTGTTGAGATACAGGTCACAGTACATGTAATTCACCCCGTAAAGTGTACAATTCAGTGATTTCTGGGATAGTCACAGCATTGTGTAATCATCACCACAGTCCATTTCAGATCGTGCTCATCACCCCAAGAAGAGATTCCGTCCCCACTGGCAGTCACTGCCTATTTTCTTCCCTTGGTCCCTGACAACTATCAGTCTGTTTTCTGCCTCTGTGGATTTGCTTTTGGACATTTTATATAATTGGAATCATACAATATTTGTCCTCTTGTGACTGGCTTCTCTCACAAAGCATGTTTTCAAGGTTCATCCATGTTGTCCCACATGTTAGCATTTCACTCCTTTTTTATGGCTGAGTAGTATTCCAGTGTTTGGATGACATATTGTGTCCATCCATCATCAGTTGGTACTTGGTTGTCTGTACCTTTTGGCAACTGGGGGTAGCACTACTGTGGATATTGTCTGTACATTCTCGTGTAGACGTATGTTTTGGACACTGTTGCAGAAACACCCAGGAGTGGAATCACTGGGTTGGATAGTCATTTTAGTTCAGTTTTGGTGCTCAGGTACCTTATCAGGAGGGAGTAATGTTAATCCATGAGGAGAGGCCCGACTCCCAGCGGGCTGCAGCGGGCAGCTGGAGGCTAGAGCAGCCTTGGTCCTCTGGGCCCTGTCCCAGAGCTGGAGCTCTTCCCATCCCCTGCCCCTCCAGGAGGAGAGGGGACAGCAGTTAGCCACTGTGAAAGTGACACCCTGGGGGCTCATGCTGAGGAGACTTCTAAGGAGACCCAGCATGGAGGCCAGGCTGTCGTAATATCCCATAGTGTGTGTTTTAGTTTCCTGGAGCATAACAAATTACCACAAATTTGGTGCCTTAAAACAACAGAAATCTTTTCTTTCCTAGCTCTGGAGGCCAGAATCTGAAGTCAAGGAATTGGCAGAGCTGGTTTCTCCTGAGATTCAGAGGAAGGATCTTTCCTACCTTTCCTCTGTGGCTTGTAAATGCATTGCTCCAATCTCTGCCTTCGCTGTCTCCCCTCTGTGTCTGTGTTTCTCCTCCTCTTAAAAGGACACCAGTCATTGATTGGACTTAGGGCCCACTCTAGTCCAGTATGACCTCATTTTAGCTAGTTACATCTGCACTTCCAAATAAGGTTACATTCACAGGTTTTGAGTGCACATAAATTTGGGGGCTGCTATTAACCCAGTGTCAGATGGATATTGTTGTGTGTCTTTTTTGCTCACTCGATGGACACTGGGGTGTTCCTTTGGGCCATCGTGAACCATGCTACCATGGACGTGCATGTAGTTTTGTGTGGTGTATGTTTCAGTAGTGGAGCAGCTGGGTCACATGGCCATGCTCCATTCAGCTTTGTGGGGAACCTTTCACTTGATGTCCAGTCTCTGTCTGCACAACACACTTATGAGAGCTTCTTCTCTGTGGAGACAAGGGTGGAGGTGATCCCTAAAGCTCAGCTGCGGCCCATGCTCCCTGTGCCCAAGCCAGGTGTTGGATCATAAGGGAGCTCTGTGGCACGGGCCCCAAAGATAGGAAGAGGTTCAATCCACCTCTCTCCATGCTTTTTCCTGCAGATGGGATGGGGTGACCTGGGGGTATATGGAGAGCCTTCCAGAGAGACCCCGAATTTGGACCGGATGGCCGCTGAGGGCATGCTTTTCCCAAACTTCTACACAGCCAACCCCCTGTGCTCACCATGTAAGTCAGGCTGGCCCACGGCACAGGGAGTAGGCAGGGGAGGTGGGCACAGGGAGCAGGCACGGGGCCGGTGGGGGGTGGGTGGCATGAGGAGCAGGCCTGATAAAGGGGCAAGCTTCACCACATTTCCTCAAGGGCAAGAGGTCCAGCAGGCATGTGTCACGTTTCTGTTGGCTCCCTGGCACATTGGGTCCCAGGTTCCATGCTGTGTGGGGCGTGGGGCCATAGGCCACTAAGGGCTTGTCCCCTGTAAGGATCTTTGAGGCCAAAGATGCTATATGTGGCAGTGCTGGTTTCCAGGTACTGTGTGCTGTGACTTGTTCAGGAGTGCTGGCTGGAAAGTGGTTCTCACCAGGGGGGTGGGGATCGAGGTTGCAGGGGTTGGGCAGCCTATTTCTCTGTACAGGAAAATCACTACTGCTGAGGGGCTTCTACTTAAATGCCGGCCTGTGGAAGAGAAGGAATGGTGGATGGGGGGGGGGGCACATGAGGGGCCATGTGGACCCCACATCTCAGTGTCCTGGGAGCAGGGCAGAGTGATTGGGGGGCTGGACGATGCTGAGCTGCATGGCCTGGCCTGGCCTGGCCAGCGCTCCCTAGTGACCCACATCTGAGCCAGTCGGTACAGGGGCAGCTGCCCACCCAGCTCTGGAGGCTGGATGGACTTTGAAGCTCCGCAGAGCTGGCCACAGGCCTGACGCACGACGCAGTCTCATCGTGTTTCTGTTTTTTCACCTCCATGCAGCCAGGGCGGCCCTGCTCACCGGACGTCTGCCCATCCGCAACGGCTTCTACACCACCAACGCACAGGCCAGGAATGGTGCGTGTGCACTTGGGGTGCGCGGAAGGTCTGGGAGGCCGAAGACCAGAGGGGTGAGGGAGGCTCATTTGTCACTCATCCTCACATATGACCTTTCTCCTTCAGGACAGCACTCATTACCCAAGGTCAAGGGCTTTGTTTGGGTTATAGAATGCCATTTTAAAACATTGCAGCACTTTCATCAAAAACAATGCATTTTAGGCAAGTAGAAAAGAAGGTGAGGTTAATACGAGGTCTCGGATTCAGGGCAGAGCTCCAGGCACATTTCACTGCTCCTTCCCTGCCGTGTCCTGTCCCAGGCTGCCCTGCACAGTCTGGTGAGTTGGGCATGCCACCCCTCAAGGAGCGCTTACTGAGAAAACCAGGCACTGTGAGGTCAGCAGGGGACAGCCCTGGGAGAAATGTAGTATAGAAAGCAGAGGGGAGCCTGGTGTGAGTGGGACCCTCATGGTATCAGATGGCATGTTCTGGAGACCCTTGGGCAAAGGGGGTAGGGGCCTGGGGCTCTGACTGATAGTGCCAACCCCTCTGCAGGGGGCACAGTCTGCCCTGTCTGTCTGCACCCAGTACTGTGCTGACTTTGGGAAAGTGCCTGGAAGACCCCAAAGGTACTATGCAGCAGTGCCAGTCCTCACCAGGGCTTTTCCCATTGACTCTGAAGGGCCAGTGTTCAAATCTATTACCTCCAGCAGCACAGCCTGCTCCATGTGTGTGAGTGGGTCACACGCTGTGGTTCTCTTCCAGCCTATACACCTCAGGAGGTCGTGGGTGGCATCCCAGACACTGAGCTCCTCCTGCCTAAGCTGCTGAAGGGCGCCGGCTATGTCAGCAAGATCGTGGGCAAGTGGTGAGTCCTGACACTTGCCTGTCTGGGCACATGCACACAGGGTCGTTGCTAAACATTTCCAAATGGGAAAAACTTGGGTGAGAAGTAGAGTCTTTGAATTCTAGGTCCACTTAGATGTCTGAAGCATTCCTTTGAAAGCTGGGATGGCCATGCTGCTGGGACTGCCTATCTCTAGGCTGAGGTGTTGGCTGTGAGTCCACCGTTCTCCTCAGATATTGCACATCCCACCACCTGCCCCTCTCTCCTTCTTCTCCTGGTGCTGTCTGCTGCCTCAGTGTCACCAAAGGAGCCACATTATTGCATGTGCAGTGCTGTCATGAATAACACACTTTGTCAGCAAGCACAGAGCTCTGTCTGGTGGTGAAATGAAGAGGCAACCAGTCAGTGGTCAAAGTGGCAGAGCAAGTAAATGCTGTGCTCACCTCCTCCCACAACCACATCAAATTACAACTAAACTACAGAACAACCATCACTGAGAACCGCCTGAAGTCTAGCTGAACAGAAGTCCTGTAACTAAGGATATACAGAAGAAGACATGTCAAGGCTGGTGTGTTACAGAGTGTTCCTGTGTTGTTCAGAAATATTTTATAATAATTTTTTTTAAACACCCTAGAATAAAAACATTAACCAAAAAAAGAAGAGTAGCAGCAGCAGCAGCAAACAGGAGGTAGAGAATAGTCATGTGGTCATGCAGTGTGGAGTCACTGGGATCAAATGATCATGATTGTAGAAGGTCACGTTACTGTGCACGCTCTTTATGCTGTTTTAAGCATGTTAAGCAATTTCTGTGTCATTCCCTGAGGATGCCTAAGTGGGTTGGTGTAAAGGTCAGACGTCCTCTTTCCTTTTCGGGGTGTTGGGGCCTTTAGAGAATAGCAAGCCCACTTCCTACAGGAAGCCTTCCATATTTTTTTATCCCTAATTGTCTCTTCAACACACTGTGGACCCTCTGCCCTTAACCCCTCTGGCACTCACCAGCAGTGCTTTATCAAGAAAGAATGCCTTGTCTGTGCCCCTTGCAAACTGCAGCTGTTTGCACATTGACAGTCACAGGTATGGGAGATCTACAGACACTGGGAGAGTAATCATCAGAAAATCCTGGTGATCTGGAGGCTGCCTAATGAATGCTTTCTCCCTCCTGAGACAAGTTAGGAGCTGCCGGCCAGGCAGATGAACTCAGAGGAGTTAGTGGCTGCAGAGCAGAGCTAGTGGGGGCGCACTGGGCTGAGGGAGCCCTTGTTGCCTGCACGGTGCAGGGCATTGCCGGAAAGGCCCAGGGAGACTGTTGCAGAGGCCAGCTGTGAGACCTGCCAGAGCCGTGTCAGTGCTGCGCTGGCAGAAGGAAGAGCCCCCGATGACCGGAACTCTCTGTGCCCAGCCTGGCAGCTCTGCCTTGAGTCCCTTGCCTCCCATTCATAGTCATTGCCTGGGCAGCCAAAGCAGGAATGGGAGTGTATCTCCATGTGGAGAGATGAACACAGATGCAGAGGGAGCCTGGCAGGGCCCAGAGAAGCAGCTCTGGGTGAACTTGGGGAGGTGGACATAGTGCTGGTGGATGAGCCAGGGTCAGGGCCACTGTGGCCAGAGCAAGGACTGGCTCTGGGAGGCCTGGTGTGGAGGGCTTGGCCTCTCCTAGGCCCAGTAAAGGTCCTGGTCTCAGTGGGGGTCCCATCACAAGGCCATAGTCAGGAGATGTTAGCTGTCATGGTTGTGACTGCCCTGACATCCTGCCTCTGGGCCCCAGCACCACTAATCAGGATTTCCTCAGCCTGACCAAGGTTTGGGGTGGAGGAACCTGGACTTCTTTGAGAGGCTGCTCCATCTCCCCCAGTCCTAGGGGGCTGCGGCATGATGCAGATCAAGCTCACCTTTGGGTAGGGCTGACCCCGCTGCTGTTTTGGAATAAACACTTTGAATTGACATCTTAACATGAGGAGGACCTTCGCTGGTGTTTCTGTTAAGCAAAGGCTGTTTGAGGTAGCAGATGTGGGTACACGACAGAGCCACTCACAGCCAGTGCTGGCGTGAGGTGTTGAGAAATGACTGCGGCCCAGAGAAGACATGAGTCACAAACAGGAAGCACAAAGCACAGAGGTCACAGCAGAGTTGATGCACCTGGCAGAGAGACTAGAGAGGCCCAAGGTGGGTGCCAGGCAACCATCTGGAGGCGGAGCATTTTAGAACCAGCAGTAGGGAACCAAGGCCCCAAGAGATGCACTTACGGTCACCCAGACTCAGATGCTGGCTGGCTCAGTTCCAGCCTGCATCCGGGCCAGCTTTCCTCATTGCCATACACCGTGTCCTCTGACTGAGTGGTGCAATGAGCTCACAGGGACTTGGGAATCGCATGGCCCACTGCAGGGCCTCTGAGCGGTCAGGATGGGGCCTTCCCAAGTGCAGCAGAGGAACAGGACTCTCTGCTCCAGGGACACAGCTTTCCAAACACACATCGCTGCAAGAAGCTTTCTGCAAACAAAAACCAAGGAAACCCACCCACTTTCCAGGGTGGAGCTGGCTTGCTCTGCAGAGGCCGGAACCCAGAACTACCTCTATTAGCCCCGTATTCCAAAGGACAAGTGGGGCTGTGCTCAAGGAGCTCTAGAACCTGATTTGGATGGGAGCGTGTCAGCACCTCCCATTGGCAAGGGGACCCAACATTAAGTGCCCCCAAGGGGAAGGGGGGTGTGGGGACAGGAGAGCAAGGCACAGCCCAGCAAGAGGCTCTCACAGCCGTGGCCGGCATCGCTCAGCGGTTAGAGCATCAGCCTATGCACCAGAGGGTCCAGGGCATGATTCGCAGTCAAGAGCACGTACCTGGGTTGTAGATCAGATACCTGCCCCCCGTCAGGGTGCATGTGGGAGGCAACCAATGGATGTGGTTTTCTCCTCCCCCTCCCCCCAAAAAAATCAATAGAAAAAAATATCCTCACTCCTTGGGTAAGGATTTAAAAAAAAAAAAAAGAGGCTCTCACAGCTTTGCATGACACCTGCAATATGTGGTGACAGGAGCTTGCAGATGGCCACTCCCCTCCAAGCAGAGCACCTGGGTTTCTGAACAGCTTGAGAGTTGTCACCCTGTAGGCACATTGCTGTGTTTCCTTCTAGTCATACCCACCCCCATTTCTGGCCAAGACACTGAGTTGGTGAGCAGCATTAGCTGGTCCTGGCACTGTCCCAATCTGTGACCCTTAGCTATAGCCTGGCAGCATCACTTGGGGAGGGCAGTTGGTCCTGAATTCTCCTTGAGAGTGAGCTCTTTCTGTGCCCGGGCTTAGCACACTTTGGGTGCTGGAGGGACGTTTGCTTCATTAAATGTTCTGTGAAGCTAATGGGATGTTGCTCCTTGGAACTTTGGGGTGTCCCCATGTGGGACTTCCTGAAGTGTCCTGGCTTCCTTTTTCTAGGCATCTGGGCCACAGGCCTCAGTTCCACCCCCTGAAGCATGGATTTGATGAGTGGTTTGGATCCCCCAACTGTCACTTTGGACCTTATGACAACAGGGACAGACCCAACATCCCTGTGTACCGGGACTGGGAGATGATTGGCAGGTAATGGTCGCTTCCCTTCTCACCCCTTGATGCTGAACCCAGCCCTTGCCTTCTGGGGCTGCCCAGGAGCTGAATGGAGTTTCCAAAAGCACCTGCCCCCAGCACTGGTGTCCCAGTGTGCTGGGCCCTGCTTTGACAGCTGGCTGCCTGCCCAGAACAGTATAGGACTCATTGCCTAGGCTACTGCTTCAGCCACACATAGGGGGTTGCTCACCTTTTTAGAAAATATGATGAGAGCCAAAAATGCTCTCCAGAACAAGGTGTGTTCACATGGTAGCCATTCATACTGTTTCTGGGCTCGGGTCCATACAGCCCTGTGGCAGGTCCTGGGTTCCAGATCTAGAGGCTGCACACTAGATTTTGAGGAAATCAGCATCATCACAGAAGACATGATGGGATGAACCCTACTTGTGAGCCTGCCAAGAGCAAATCGCCATCTGAAGGGCAGGTTGCCTCAGGATTGCCCTGGTCCTGCCCACATCCTGGCAGTGGAGTTCCTGCAGCGTGGCCATGCCAGGTGGAGTCCTGGTCTTGCTTAAGTTTTATTTGGCTTAATCTTTTTTCCTTTTTTTATTATTAATTTTTGGTTGGTCCTCATTATATATCAGTAAACCAAGAAGCTGGACCAACTCATCTTTTTTAATTGTAAGAGAATTAAGAGAATTCACTGACGGGACAGTTCATCTATTTATTTAAAGTATTCAGTTCAGTGCTCTCTAGTACATTCACAGCGTTGTGCAGCCATCACCCATTTCAGAACCTTTCCATTGCCTCAAAAAGAAAACTCACGTTCATTAGCCCTAAGGAACTGGGATCCACCTCTTGCCTCCTCTCTCTCTGTCCTTATACAGTGCTCCCCATCCTCCCAAATGGTGATCATGGCACCATGTCTGAGCCCCTTCGTCCTTGAGGAGACCTTGCCCTCAAGAGCAGTGCGAGCTTCCAGTTTCATTTGTTCATAAACTGAACATTTCCACCATTCTTTATTATTTATTATTACTTAAAATATGTCTTTATTGATTTCAGAGAGAGAGAGAGAGAGAGAGAAACATCAATGATGAGAGAGTCAATGATCGGCTGCCTCCTGCACACCCCCCTCTGGGGATGGAGCCCGAAACCCGGGCATGTGTCCTGACCAGGAATCGAACTGTGACTTCCTGGATCCTAGGTCCATGCTCAACTGCTGAGCCACACTTGGCCGGACTCATTCTTTTAAATGAGATTCATGACTTTGCCTATGAAATCATGGAAAAGAGGCTTTCTTTACCTGAAACTTGATTTCTCTCTGGATCTGTTAATTCAGATATTATGAAGAATTTCCAATTAATAAAAAATCTGGAGAAGCCAACCTGACTCAGATCTACTTACAGGTAATGGAAGCCTGGGCTGGGCAGGCTCTGGGGCAGGGGAAGTCCAGCCTTCGGGCAGGGCCAGATGGTGTGTTGTTCTCCTCAGGAGGCCCTGGATTTCATTAAGAGGCAGCAGGCAGCTCAGCGCCCCTTCTTCCTCTACTGGGCCATCGACGCCACACATGCACCTGTTTATGCTTCTAAGCCTTTCTTAGGCACCAGTCAGCGAGGGCGGTGAGTCCTTGGTCTTAGAGACATAGACCTCCCCCCCACACACACACTTAATGAGGTTAAGCTGTGCTTGATTACTTCCAGGGACAGGGCACTCAATACCATTATGTTTTAAATTATCAATTGTAGGAAAAGACTGACGCATCTGTGCCTCTGAAGCTACCTGTCAGCCCAGAATTAGTGGGAGGAGTGCTACAGCATTGTGGTCGGCCCTCCCCTACATTAACTGAGAACTTGAGCTCTCCTCTTCTGTGAATTTACCAGTCCATTTTGCTGTCCATCCCTAAAGTTATGATTTACCTGCTCTTTGATCACACTGAAGCCCTTGGCCACCTGGTAAGTGTCCCATCTTTCCCGTAGGTACGGGGATGCTGTCCGGGAAATTGATGACAGCGTGGGCAAAATCCTGAACCTTCTTCGGGACCTGAGGATCACAGAGAACACATTTGTTTTCTTCACGTCTGACAATGGTGCTGCCCTTGCTTCTGCTCCCAAACAAGGCAAGTATTTGGAGTGCCCCAAACAAGGATTCGCTCAAGAATGATGGCCCCCTGAGACTCACTCAGGGTCCCCTCAGCCATCCCTGGGGCAGAGTATGAAGAGGACTCTGCCCGGGGGCCCCAGCCATGGGGAAGATGTCCACTCTCCTCCTGGGGCCGCGTCTAGTAGGAACAGATATGAGGAGACCTGAGAGCTGCCCTGTGGGGTTGGCTTGGGCCTGGTCACACACAAGGCTGATGGGGCTGCCCACCAACACCCGCATTCTGTGATGCACTCTCCTCCCCTGAAAGGCTGGAGTACCTCAGCCTTTCCTGGCCCAGGAAGGGTGTGTCATTGTATGAAACGGTGACTGCCCGATGCCCCTCTTCTGAATTGTTTGTTGTGTCTAGCTCCCCTGGAGGTTCCTGGTCAGGAGGGGGAGCTTGGTGGGGGAAAACGGAGACCAAGGCCAGGACCTTCATTCTGTCCTGGCTCTGCCACTGACTGGCCCTGGACATAGGTCACTTCAGCCTCCTTCACATTTAGGAGCTGAATGGGGTCACTTCTGGGCTTTCCCCTCTAAAGTGCTGGTTTTCTCCATCAGTGTTTTTATTCTAAACTTAAGTACAACATGGTCACCATTGTCACGTGTCTAACCAGCCACATTTGCACCTTTTTCTGACTTTAAGGAGCCTTCCTTCATGGTGGTGGTAATGACCATCTCCCCAGGAGCTAAAGATGCAGGAGACATACTTTCCAGCCTCCCTGGCAGCCAAGCTCAGGTCCCCCATCCCTCATGAGCAGTGGTACCCAGGAAGGAAGGGACCAAGCCCCCACCCATGCAGTGCTAGCTGTGAGTGGAGGCACCCAGAGCCCCTGGTGCAGTGAGGGGGCCCCACATCCCCAGACCTGCTCTGTGCCTCTGTGTCCGAGCCAGGCCTACAGGCCTCTTGAGGGCCATGGCTCCAGGTCCTTCAGTAAGCTCTGATTTCCAACTTATGGAGTGAGGTAGCTGCATGCACCCTGGTATTTCAGTGTCCTGTAAGAGTTTTACCCTAGTGGTTGTATATCTTTTTATCTTTTGACCGTCTTTTTTTTTTTTAACAATTTTTATTGATTTTAGAGAGAGTAAAGGGGAGAGAGAGGGAGAGAGAGAGAGCACGCGCGCAAAACATCGATCAGTTGCCTCCTGTACATGCCCAACCAGGGATTGAACCTGCAACCTGGGTATGTACCCTGACCAAGAATCGAACCCACCACCTTTTGGTGTACAGGACGATGCTCCAACCAACTGAGCCACCCAGCCAGGGCTGATCTTATTCTTTTTAAAGAATGCCAGGGCCTCAGCAGGGTCCTGAGTCAGACAGCTCTGGAAGGACATCAGGCAACCCCATGGGGACAGGCCTGCAAAGGGAGGCACTGGGGGACCCTGTGGTCAGTGGGCCTCCCCCACTTTTGGAGGAGCTTCGTCTTCGTATAGCTGATGGTCCCAGAGAAGGGGTGGACCCCTGTCTCCCAGCAAAGGCCCAAAGCCAGCTGAATGTTGATGTCCCTGCTGGCCCCTGAATGGGACGCTCAGGAGAGCCCTCCCCTGACAGCCCAGCCTTGCTGGAACCAGCAGCCTCCCAGTCCAGGCTTGAACTTAGTCACCCTCCTGTCTTTGGTCTTTGTTTCTACATTATGGAATAGTTCATACGGACAGAAACTCTGTGTGCATCTCTAAGAAGGTACAAATGACAATGAATAAAAATCCATGTACCCACCATGCGACCTGGAAAAATGGGAGGAAGGAAGTGAGCCACCTCAGCACCTTGAGCTCTCACCTTCCCAGGAGCAGCCAGTCCCCAGCGTGGCACATCTCTCCTCCTCACTGTCCCTGCATTCACACATGTGACAGAGTCCATCTGCACTCCTGTGTTGTCCCTACAGATCATTACTGCTTTTTCCCCAAGATCTGCCTATGTTGATGCATAGAGATGGCGTTCAAGTTCCAGTGCAGGGACAAACTGTGGAGCTTCCTGTTAGAAAAACACTACTCTGTTTTGTTTTCTCTACTTTCAGGGGGCCTGAGGTGAGCTCTGCACAGTTTATGCTGCAGCAGCAGGCGCCCTGTTTGTCCTCAGGAACCGTCCTCTGTGTTCTGGGAGCCACGGGACGTTTGATCAGCCAGGGCTAGGAGCTCTGCTCTCTGACAGTTTCCCAGGCATGGTTTAGAGACCACCTGCTCATAGCAGGGCTTGTTAGAAAGGAATCTGAATCCTGTCCATGATGGGACACCTCCTGGGACCCAGGGATTGATGCATTTTAACTAGACTCCTCAACCCCAAACACACATGGACGCTCATTGTCACTAACATTTAAGAAAGGTTGTACCTGCCGTAGCCGGTTTGGCTCAGTGGTTAGAGCATCAGCCCGTGGACTGAAGGATCCCGGGTTTGATTCCAGCCAAGGGCATGTACCTCAGTTGCAGGCTTGATCCCTAGCCCTGGTCTGGGCATGTGCAGGGGGCAACCAATCAATGTGTCTCTCTCACATCAATGTTTCTCTCTCTCTCTCCCTCCCACTCTCTCTGAAAAAGCAATGGGAAAAACATCCTCAGGTGAGGAATTAAAAAAAAAAAAGAAGAAGAAGAAGAAAGGTTGTACCTAAAAAGCGACTAAGAGTCCCAGTGGCCTGCTGCCGGGATATGTCAGTGGCTCTGCTGGAAGAGTGTCTGTCTTGTGCTGACGGGAGTGGCCATGCTCTGTTTCTGAGTAGTTGCTCTTCATTTTAGGACCAAAAAAATGGGGCATGACATCACAACCAGAGCATCTAGGATAGTCACCTGGGTCAGAGCCATCTTGAGGTGTCCCAACCTCGTAGCTGGTCCTTTGCCTCATAATGGTCTTGGTGCCTCGGTGTATCAGCAGTGTCACCTTTGAATTGCTGGGTGGGGGCCAGGTGCAGGAAAGTGCCCAGTAAGGCATGTGTTGCCCTGGGGACTCAGAGTAGAGATAGCTGATGGGCAACAACTCTCCCTCCCCAGGAGGCAGTAATGGCCCCTTTCTGTGCGGGAAGCAGACCACATTTGAAGGTGGGATGAGGGAGCCTGCGATTGTATGGTGGCCCGGGCGCATCCCTGCAGGCCAGGTGAGTCAGAGGTTGGCCACGTGACCGGGCCTGCAGTCATCCTGGGGTGTGAAGACTCGGCCCCCATGTGGGCCTACTCTCTCTACTCACTTCTCTCCTCCAAACAGGGCCCCTCCTGAGGGAGGCAGCTGGTGAGTGAAGGATGTGTGGGGTGGGCACTGGAATGGTCCCCCACAGACATGGCATGGGGCGTTAGTAGCTGCCATGGGAGGAGGAGGCATCTGTGGTTAATTAATGTGGCAGTCCTGAGTGCCACTAAGTGGAACCAGTTTCATTCCTGCAGGACTTTTCAGAGCCTTTAGTGTGCTAATGTGTATAGTGAACTTCTGGAAGAGGCATACAGCAAGCTGAGTTTTTAAAATTTTGTTAAGCCATAGAACCCTTTTTTCCAAAGTGCATCTCCCAGGCTGCTGTTCTGTGGACACACTCCCAGAGACAGCAGCAGCTTGGCCGTGTGGTTGGGATCTGTCTGCAGTGCATGGGTGCAAACCACAGGGCTGGGCAGCCCAGTCATCTTGCTGGACAAGGTGCATGTCCTGTTCCTCAGAGCCCTCACTCTGCCCACCCCCCTCAGCTGAGAACAAGGGGTCTTCTCTAACTGGGCACTTTGACTGAGATACCCTCGAGGGCTAGAGACTAATGATTGTAGGCATGTGAGTCACTGTCTCAACTCGTCTTTTTTCCCTTCTAATGAGCTTCTCCAGAGAATACCGTTCATGGTGCTGGTGTCGGTTCAGCCTTCATGGCAGTACCTTCAGGATCCTCTGAGTCCTGTGGCTGCTGAAACCATCACCACAACAGAGGGCTAGAACCATACACCTTTGTTCTCTCACAGTCTGGAGGCTGGCAGTCCAGCACCGTCACCAGGGCTAAAATCAGGGGTACAGAGCTGGTTCCTCCTACAGGCTCCAGGAGAGAACCTGTTTCCTTGTCTCTTCAGGCTTCTTGGCCTTCAGTCCCTCCCTTCCTCCCTCCATCATCCAGGCTAGCTGTGGCCATTCATTGTCACCCCATCACCCTGACACTGGCTGTCCTGCCCCTTTCCCAGTGTTAGGACCCTGTGATTACCCTGGGCTCACCCTGTGAGCCAGAATCAGCCTTTGTTTTAAGGTCAGCTGACTGACAGCCTAATTCCCCTTCTCTGTGTGAGTAAAAATATTCACAGGGTCCAGAACTGGGGCCTTATCTGGAGCCCACCCAGTTCTTTCACTCCTCCATTCTGGATCTTGGGGCAAAAGCCAGGTCAGTGGGGAGAACCCCAGAGAGCCTATCATCATTGTCATCACCCCCATTCTATATGTCAGCAACTGAGGTCCAGTGAGAGGCAGTCTCTTGTCAGGATCTCCCAGCTGGCAGGTGGCAGAGCTGGAACAGACCCCCCAGGTGTGTGGTGTGGGGTGTGGAGCCCCTACCTCCCCCACTGCCTCTCTCTCCTAGGACCGCTTTCCCCACCCACTGTGCCTGTGGGAAGCTGCAGCCTTTGGGATCCTCTGCCCCTTGCCTGCCTGGCTCCCTGCCCCTCTGGGCCCTGCTCCTCAGAGGAGGGAGAACATCGCACCGAGCTGCTCAGCTGCCTTCCCTGCACCATGTCTCATGGCACACACTGAAATTGAATTAGACGGGGCTATCAGGCCTGCACCCTGTGATAACTGTGAGAGGATTTTATTTTAAAACACCCTGCCATTTGTCCAACCAGCTTCAAATATTTAGCTCTCCCCTTCACGCCTGGTGGGGTGACTTTATTAATTGTAGCCTTTGATTCCGAGTTAAGTCTTGAAAGTGCTGATAACAGCCTTGGTGACTTCCTGCCACAGGCCCGTGGCAGACAAATTGCATTTTCTTAAAGGCATTATGTGCACATTGAGAGTGTCTATTTTTCAAAAAGAGCATCTTCCATGAGTGCACCCAGCTGTTCTGTGCTGATATGAGAGGACTTCAGATATCTGCTCCTTCCCGCACCACCCCACCCCCACCCAGCACCG